TAGTAGTAGTAGCAGTAGTAGCAGTAGCAGTAGCAGTAGTAGTAGCGGTAGTAGTAGTAGCAGTAGTAGTAGTAGTAGTAGTAGTTGTAGTAGTAGTAGTAGTTGTAGTTGTAGTTGTAGTTGTAGTTGTAGTAGCAGTAGCAGTAGCAGTAGCAGTAGCAGTAGCAGTAGCAGTAGCAGTAGCAGTAGCAGTAGCAGTAGTAGTAGTAGTAGTAGTAGGAGCTACTACTAGTAGCAGTAGTAGTCGTAGTAGTAGTAGTAGTAGTAGTAGTTGTTGTTGTTGTCGTTGTGGTGGTAGTAGTAGTAGTAGTAGTAGTAGTAGTAATAGTGATTTAGTAGGGGTGCTGCTGCTGCTGCTGCTGCTGCTGCTGCTGCTGCTGCTCCTGCTGCTGCTGCTGCTGCTGCTGCTGCTGCTGCTCCTGCTCCTGCTCCTGCTACTGCTCCTGCTGCTGCTCCTGCTGCTGCTACTACTACGACTACAGCTACTACTAGGAGCAGCAGCATTCAGATCAGGAACCTGCATGACCTTTGCAGGTAGCACCCTTCATGACCTTTGTCACAGCGAGGCACATAATGTAATGGTTCAGTACTGCTTACCAAAGACATGGACTGCAAGACTGACAGTCAGCCGTTATGTAAGTTATGGCTTCTGACACTACTATGGCTTGGTGACCCCCATCTCACATCAACTCGCGCAAAAGCGTTCTTGTCGCTGTTGTGCTGGGTGGTCACGAAAGTAGCGGGCTCACAATCTGATGCTTCATGAAACTAGCATACCTGGACCAGAAGCACGCTTCCACAGGAGCGCAGAAAAGAGTCTTGAGTCCAGCCGGTTCGAGGTGCAGAGGGCCTTGATTGCTCATTGGAAACCAGCTCGTCATGTGTGCCCTGCTCTACCACGTGGCCCTTGTCCAAGACCTTGGCAGTGTGTCGTTATCGCACGGCCTGCAATGCCCTTGTGAAACAACGGATGACTCAGTCGAAGGCGAGAATTCTCGTCGACCGCACTACAGTGGACAAGCGATGCCTGCTCTGCGTCCCCACGGCCCGCAACACCCAATGACGACAGGCTGGTCTGAGCTTGCAGCGCAATGATGAAGATGGTCTTGCCTTCTCATGCAGGGCTTGTGTGACTGTGCTCCGGCCTCTCTCATGACTAGACAGACCAGACATCAGTAGTGAATCAGCTTCCCAACGGAGACTGCACCAGCGCGGCTCTAAGGCCGAAAAGGCAGGGAGAGCGAGCCTCTCATCAGCTCATCGAGAGCTTGCTGTACAATGTGCTCATTCTCGCTGTCCAAGGCACTGGTCGCCTGGTCAAAACAGTAAACAATGTAATGTAAGCTTATCTAAGCACGATGCAGCAGCATCACTTAAAGTTCCCCGGGTCATCCGCCTCATCCAAGACGAGCATCTTGGGATTTCGGATGATTGCTCGCGCGATGGCCTCTGCGGCGGCTTATGGCCAGACTTCAAAAAGCTGCAGATGAGTTTGCAGAAACTGCAACGGAATCCCCGTCCCCATCTTCTTCTTCTTCTTCATCATATCTTAGCTCGACAGATTGCCGACAGCCATACGGCAGCCTTGATCATAGCAAGAACACAACACAAAAACATTAATAGAAATCACAGTAGCTGAAATTCTCCTGCTGCCAACAGTTACCCATGATAATCATCGTTATCATCGCCTACATCATTATGATAACGGTACTAATACTCGCAGGAGCAGTTACAATCAATTGATACTATACTGGCCATGGAGGCCTGACAAGTATTGGCTAATACAATGCACCCCTGAATCCTATTCTAATCATCGAAGCCCCTCACAGTATAGAACCTTCGCTAAGGCTTCCTTATTATAGAACCCTTTCACAATCCTTAAACCCTAAACCCTTCAAAGGAACCCCTGTTTGAACTAGTACAGTTAGGTCCCTAGGCTCTGAGACGTCGACGACACGCTGCTTTTGCCCACCAGATATTCGAGCCGCGCGCTCTCCGGGATGGGTCCTCGCCAGGCTTTTTGCGGGTTTAGGGTTTGGGGGTTTAGGGTTAAGGGTTTAGGGTTTGGGGGTATAGGGTTTTGGGGTTTGGGGTTCAGAAGCTTAAAGTTCAGGGATATTGACCCTGAGGAAACCCGGAAACGCGTAAAGGCTACCATACACTTATAGTAACCCTACCACAACCTTACAGCCCTTAAACGGAACCCTATGATACCCCTCTTGAACCTCTAGCATAAACGTCTGATTCCCTGAACTCGCAGCCTTTCAGACAATTCGAGTTGGGCTCTGCGGTGCATTGCCGAATTAATTATAGTAAGCATCATCCACATCGTCGTGGAATCTTACTCTTAGCAGCGACTTGCGCAGCGAAAGCACAGAAACAGCACAGCAAGAATGTGCGTGAACCGTAAACCACAAACCCTGAACCGGGTGAAGTGATTTTACCCTGAACCCAGTATCCTAAACCCTAAACTGCAACCCTAAACCGGCCATCATCGAAAAGCCAAGGCCGCAGCTCGTATCCGCTTTGCAGGTCCGTGATGAACTTGTGAGCGTTAGCCCGACGAGCAGCTGCCTGCGGGAGAAAGGCGGGCTGAAGGCTCAGCAAGAAAGGGGGATTAGGGTTTAGTGTTCAAGGCTTAGGGACTAGAGGATGAAGGTTTAGGGTTTGGGATTTTGGGAGTAGGGGGATTAAGGTTTAGGGCTTGGGGTCCAAACTGTGAAGCTCTTACGGGTTCAGCTTCATGTCCAATAATTACAAGCTGCGGGTCTAACTTGGTCATGGATGAGATTGTAGTACGGTATTGCTCTCAGAGTCTGCTGGACAATTTCCATCATCACGTGAGGTCCTTGGACTCTAAAGTTCAGGTCAGCAGCAAAGGCAAGTGGCTGCTGCATCACCATCACAAGACTGCTCATGATCATCGCCATGATCAGTTGTTACGCAGAGCAAAAACCTGGTCACAGCATCCGCACAGTACCCGGCCTCGATCTCTTCCTTAGGTGCACCTTTGGCACTTCCGTAGGCGATGTTGTCGCTCAACTTCCTGGACACAAGCCACTGATGATCATTTTTGCATTCTGAAGCACGGCCAGCTCTGTCGCCTGTCGAAGAGAACGGGCTCTTGCTCTACGAAGCCGATCTGCGAACGGAGCCAGCGGATGTTGTAGCTCCTCCGTGCATAGGGTGCAGCATCGCGCTCTGAACAAAGGAGGCTACCTAAACCCTATACACCCTAAACCCTGATCCTGTAGTCTAAGCCGTCCAACGTGATCGATCCGGCGCTTGGATCCTCGATGCTGAAGTTTCCATCATCAGGCATGTAATTATCAGGCAAGTCTGGACTAATCACCGGCTTGATTCTCAACATAGCAGTGGCAAAAATAGGGGGTAGTAGCAACCCTAACCCCTGATCCTAAGCCCGAAACTCCGAAGTCTTCCTGGCAAGTTTGACAACAATGTAGTCTGAGGCCGATGCATAGTATCGCAAGAGGAGACGGCCAAGAGTTGTCCTCGCATCTGGGACAGGCTATGTTATGTTCTCAGTATATTCCTGTTTGATGCCATGCAGCTGACTCCATCTGCTACATCAAAGGTGATGGTTTGCTCAGGCGCCATGGCTCAACACATGGAATGGCATTATCGAGCACTTGCACCGGATTAATCGAGAAGAGGTCGGGATTATCAGGCGCAAGGCGGGTGGCTTCTCAGACACATGGAAAACTCATGTTTTAAAAATGCGCCGCGGGATTCCTGAAACCCTATACCCTAAACATTGCCTGCACATGTTAATGACAATTCCCACGCATGTTCTTGATAATGCACGCGCGTCTCTTTGATATGTCGCGTGCTTGTCTCTGATAAAAGTGGCCTTTATTTCCGAACCATGGTGCAATGAAAACTCAAGAATTTAATTGAAAAGACAGATCACGCTACATCAATGATGTAGCATGCTTTATTTTGTCACATGTTTCTCTATTTGGCTACTGTATTCCGAGTCCGTTTACTTGCTCATTTTTCTTATGCGCCCATGTTTGTATATGAGTATGTAACCAATCAATGTGCCACATGAACGGTTACATGCTGTTTGTCTGGGGTCCGAGCTTACCCGCACCGCTTTCACCGATTAGGGCAACGATATCCTCACAGGCAAAAACCACGAAGCGCGGAAACTGCACGCTGCTCTTCAGAAATCGCGGCGGGGAGGCCCCAGGATTGGCTTCAAGTCGAACCCTTGTCAAGACCTGCCCCGATTCGACCCCGGCGCTGTCTGAGAAGTCTTGAAAAGGATGGGAGAAGCCTGAAGGTCCGCACGGCCGGAGTATGCAAAAGAGACGTCCTGCCACAGGAGAGCAGAGCTGGGAGACTTTGGAGGCCCGAATGAACAGCATCAGGTCATAGAATATAACAATCTATATAGATATATATATATATTATATTATATTATCCTACGCTATCCTATGCTATGCTATACTGTACTGTACTATATACTATGATGTAAGAGAATATGAGTCATAATATGAGATAATATCCGAAGGCACTTGCCTCCAGCACCAGGCTGCCACGACACACCGCAGGCAGAATTCCGCCCTCCTAGGTATCAAGAGCTTGTGTGGCCACGTCATGGCACTGGGTGCCGAAAGGCTATGGTAGCAGCGGTAAGTCTGCAGCGAAGGGTATCTCAGGTCTTCTGAGCAGCAGCTGAATGAACTTACCTGCAATGGCACTGCTGCGGCATGTAAGGGGACATCTTGAAGCTCGAACTAACGTCGAATACCTGTTGAGGTGACGGTTTGCTTGAAGTTGATCCAAATATCGGCCAGATTCTTGAAACCGTCCTGCATCGGGGATCGCCGACCCTGAGCAAGTTCCAACGGCACCGTTGGGGTCCTCGTACAAATTCACGTACTGGGAAAAAGCTGTATAGCCGCCTGCAGGTGGAGCACTACACACATCAAGAACACGCTACCACCGCGTTTTAAAGAGCTGACAAGCCATAGGTCACGAAAGTTTCGTGCCTATGGTTAGCGAGCCGGTGATGACCTTAGACAGCGAAGGTCAGCAGTCAAGCGGCCGAAGGGGTGCGGGAGACTCATGGCACCACACAATTGCCAGCCTGGTGCATTGCCACGGCTAGGACAACAATGTTCCGTATCTTCGAAAGCCCATACCTTTGCAGTCAACATCTCTAGGTTGGTGGGGTCTCTTCTCCCTGCCTATCGCATGGAAGAGCCAATCAATGCTTCCGAGTTTAGGCTCCCTGTTAAGGGCTCCGTAGGGCTTACAGATCCAGCACAGGCATTAGCTTAAAGAAGGCTTCGTGACTGAGGTTGAAACTGCGTAAAGCGCAGAACGGTCTCCAGATAGACGGTTGCCTGGTCGCCAACCCAACATCTTCGGAGCAGCATGGTTTCAGGCATAGGTAACGGCGGCTGCACTTGCGAGCAAACAGTAAAGGAAGCATCAAGCGTCTCGGCTGTCAAAGACATGCCAGACTCAAAGCAAGTAGAACATTAGAACGTCAGGGTCGCCTGGAACAGGTCCCTGATATACCAGAACAGTCATGTCAACAGGACCCTTTCCTGAAGCTCATTGTCATCGAAGACTCTGAGCTTGGGTTGTACGGCCGTAACGACGAGAAGCAGCTCAAACGCTAGGAGTAAAGGGGTGACACTGCGGCCCTGAGTCGAAAAATACTTCTGACGTCTCAATCATCACCTCTGTTGCAGCAGCAGCGGTGGTAGGACTTAGGAGGAGTCGTGTCTCCACGCCAGGCCTTGATGATTCTAAGGTACCGATTCAGCCGCTCTGTGAAGAACACCGCCTGAGCCAGAAGATGTTTTGGGGGAACACTATTAATACCCTGATGGCCTTAATTTAATTTCAATGCTCATGGCATCGAGAATGACAGTAGCAACATCCTCAACAGCGGAGATTGCGACAAGCGCCATCATCGAAGTGAAAACTTGTGAAGAGTGCTCGTCAATGTCGGTAAAGCAGGGCACCTCCTGCTGCTCTCCAACATTCGACTGCACCTCGGGCTGATGTTGGGTTCGTGAAGGATCGCAACGACATCTGATGTGTAGTGACCACAATACAACACATTATAATCATAAACAGTATAAACATTCTGAAGGCGCAAGGCTGCACAATATGTACACATGGCATGGCCAACTACATGCTCATATCATGGGTGGACAACAACAGCGCATACCAGCCTGAGAAACTCCTCAACAACCATGACAAGTACTGTAGAGTGAGATACTTGTGATACTGCAATCTGCAACTTGGCAAAACTTCCAAGACCAGCGAATTAATCGCGGTACCGTTTCCATAAATGCCCTCTGCCAGTCTGCACGGTTGGTAGTACATTCCTGTGGCCGGTTCCTCGTCTCCTTATGTTATGACTGCCAAAGGTTTCGATGAGAAAAACATAGGATGGCGAATTCAGGTGCACTTCAAAGAGGCTCGAAAGGCGCGATGTGTTTGCATAACTGCTGATTTTGGGGGTCACCTCTGAAATCCGAACGTAGTACTGTAGCATCGTCAGACCAAGGACGAACTAAACTACTGTTACCCAGGCAGTTGTGCATGGCACTGTCTTCTGATGCACCAAGAATACTACAATACTGGATGAGTCAGCTCGTTGGGCTTTCCACCGGACCACCCTTTCTTTCACTGGGTGAGGATGCGAAGGACGCGACAACAAAACAGTTTCGGGCCCAGGCTTCTTTGGGTTTGTGGCTCCTGCTCCTCCCGCCCAGGTTGGGGCTCACGCTCCCCCCCGGGTCTTCTCGAACAAAACGGAAACAGATTAGGGTTGATAGGGTTGATAGGGTTTAAGGTTTAGGGTTTGGGCAGCGTCATTAATGCAAGCACTCTTCTCCTTTCCTCTGGGCCTGCGGCTGTCCGAATGCTGCCCAACACCTCCACCGCAACTGCATTGGCCTGTCATTTCCCAAAAAAAAGACATACTTGGTGCGAGGCTTCCGCTTCTCTGTTGAAATTTTGCGTCTGTTGGGATTATTTGCCACTTGATCTCCAGCGCCCCTTCTTCTGAAGGAGGACTCCAAACCAAAGCTGCGCCTTTGCCATGGCATGATTCTGCACGACGCCATAGTGGCCCACGGTCTTTCCAGTGCGCCTGGCCGTTACGCGAATGACTTAAAAAAACACCGCAGCGGAGATCACTTCTGGTCCATGCACTGTCGGCACCTCACTAAGATCATGTTGATGGGAGTGATGATCGTGGCCTCGTGGCATGCTGACATCAAACAGAACAGCTTCAACCTACTGCAAGCACTCAGAGAGACACACTTCCTGTCTTCCAAGCACCCGGCAATCAGAGCCAGCCGAGGATGAGTTGCATACATGGCTATCAAGGAGCCCGCAAACTTGACGACCTCGCATATTGTGAGAGGTTGACGGCTCGCGCCCTCGCAGATGCTGCGAGTTATCCGTGCAACACAAGCTCCATACTAAGAATACTAAAGAGAGTCCTGGAGCAGGTAAAAAAACATTGATTCTAAGAATTTACTAGATGTCTTCGTCTTCTATGCTATCGATTTGCATTAACAGCCTTGAGATGTAGCACATCGATCGGGTCGCAAACCTTTCGAGGTCACTCCAACCCTTGCATTTCATGAGGGGTCAGAGTCTTTTTGACGAGGACCGGTTATATAGCGTTTAGAGTTTAGAGTTTAGGGGTCGGTGTGCCCATCTGTTTGGGATTTCAGAAAACTTCTACCGACGATGTCGGATTGGTGGGGATGAGGGAGTGAGTCTGGACGCGCTTTGGCAATTTGCTGCCTTGCAACCCAGCCGAGGTCCTCGCAGCACCCAGCACTGTCTGGGTGGTGAATTGCGTGAGTGAGGACAGGGCCTGCCGATCCATCCCACTTCGCGAAGAAGCTTCAGATTTCTCGCTCAGCACAAGGTGGCCTGCGAATCGTTGATCAGCCGACTGGAGAGTTCACCGCTCACCTTCATGGGCATGGGAAACGTGGCTTCCTTGCGGAGATGTGCACTTCAATGCATGAAACTCAATTCCGTTGTCCATGCAAACAAAAGCCTTGAGGTTCAGTGCAAGGCACTGCAATACAACATAACGAAATGCTATCCCGCATCATGAGACATGTTTGGGTACTTTGTGTCTGTTGATTCATGAGTTCCGGCTCACTGTTCCAGCTGTCACATGAAACCCTACGCCCCTACGCTAAACCTCGAACCTTGAGCCTCTGAAATCGCCTGTCATCCTCAAAAACGTTAACCCCCGAACGGTGCTGGGGCTCAGCATGGGAGTCGTAGAAGGCAATCTCCTGCTCCGTCAGATTCCTCCAGCTCATCTTCAGGGTCTCAGGAGAGTCCATGGGCTTGAAGTTTCTAGGAAAGGTACAGCAGGTCTTCACAAAGAAGAACCTTCTTTCTATGAAACTCCAACGCGTCTCCTACGAGCCTGAACAGCTTGATCCGCAAGCGGGTCACCGTGGTGTGTCCGCAGATGGCAAACCTCATGCAGTGGGGTTTCCAGCGCTGCATAGCGCTGCTCCGAGTTCTCTTACCGAGATAAATATTTTGATTTTTTATGGCAGGCAACTCCGAAGCATCAGCTATATATGATTAGATAGTCATTATATAGGCTTTGTGTGTTTCTCGTCTTCGCTCGCTATCGCAGAACTCTTAGAAGCGGGTCCCGGACAGGATGCCAACCAGGATCTCGCAGAAGTAGCTGCTGAACATGAGAACCTGAGAAGCTGGCTCTCTCCAAGTAGAGGCAGACGAACTTTCAGGGTTTAGGGTTTAGGTTCCAAAGGCCTAACTCAGGGCTCAGGTCTTGTGCCTGGGAAGGGTTTGCCTTCACCTCTAAGAACTAGAAATACCCCCCAAAAAAACAGAGAGCCGCGCGGAGAGAAGCACGATGGGCTCGAAGAGAACCTCCCCTATGTCCACCGACTCCGGCCCTGCCAGGAAGACAGCAAAGAGCTAGAAAAATCACTTACGGCATGTTAGGGTTCAGGATTGAGGAGTTGAGGATTTATAGGGTTCACAAGATACTGGAAGATCATATAAAATAACATGTAGGATGCAACATACGGACTAAGAAAGAGCTCTCCTAGACGATGACAACAGTTGTGGTGCTTACAGCCATGGCACTGGTCATAACAGAAGCAGCAGCGGCAGGCAGCAGCGGGAAATAGGAAGACCTACCAGCTGCCACGGGCAGGTACGGAGCAAGGCATTTCACACCAAGCGTGCCGATAACAACAACAGGAAAAAAAAAGAACCGAAGCAGCTCTTATTCCTTGCCAGTAGTTCTAGTCCTGGCAGCGACCATCTGGAACCGGTGATTGCGGGAACAACTATTTGCGCTTAGCAGTGGCTAGTGACTCAAAGCACGAATAACCAGGAATAGCATGCCATAAAGTCTGGATTCTTGGTATTTTAAGCAGCTGCGAGAAGTAGAAAGAAACCTCCAAACCAAGCATTGATGTTCTGGCCTCCTTGTTGAGCATACTTCCTTGCTGCATCAACGGCAACATCAACCTGCTACAGCCAAAGCGAACAAACACAGACTCGTCGAGCAGAGATGGGGCTGTGGCCAGTTGCCCCTGCACTGCAGGCAGCAGGAAGCTAAGCGTCGTCAGCCTGGACCAGGCACGGAGATCTTTCTATCGTCTCAGATGCCCCCAAAACACCGTAAAAACCCAGACACCCCTAAACCTACTGAAAACCAAGAAAACCTCAACAAAAAAACAACTCTACAAAGCCCGGTTAGAAAAATGTTTTTGAAAAGACCGACAACGGCACAAAGCCCTATACAAGCCCATATGGGGAATCCAAGGCCGAGGGCCCAGCACAAAGGAGATGACGATGCCGGAGATGAGGAAATGCAAAGGGCACAGTGAGAAAACCTCGTGCCGTCTGGATCTGCTTCCGGGTTTTGCTCAGGGTTGAGGGTTTAGGGTTTGGGTTTAGAGTGTTCCGTTTAAGGGGCCCATGTCCACATGCAAGCCTCAATCTGCCGGAGAAAGCCCACAGGGCGAGCAAACTGGTCTTAATCGGAGCACAAGGAACACGCGAAACAAGTTACGATGTCGCAGCTCCACCAGCGGTATAGGGTCTAGGGTGGAGGGTTCAGGGTTTAGGGGTTTAGGGTTTAGGGTTCAGGGTGAAAGGGCGCCGGCACATGCTGGTCCGACCATTAAGGGAGACTTGCTGGACGTGTTGAGAATAAGGACCCGACGCGGAGTTCGTTGATACCCTAAATGTCCCCAATTTCGCAAAAAAAACAAGAAACCTATAAACCCTAAACCCCAAGAACTGTCAAAACCCCAATTTCAAAACCAAAAATCCTAAAACCCCAATTTCAAAACCAAAACTCCTAAACCCCCCACAAAAGGGGAGCCCCCCAGGGCACCTCGTCTTTCAGCAACTTCAAAGAGCTGGCAATGGTCGGCGCCTTTGGAGAATTGAGCTTGCGGTCAGTTTTGCTGGGCTTCGGCTTAGGGGTTTTAGGGGGTTCAGGGGTTTAGGGTTTAGGGGTTTAGGGGTTAGGGTTTTAGGGGTTAGGGTTTAGGGTTTAGGGTTTTAGGGGGTTCCAGGGTCGGGGGACTGGGCTTTCCAGAACGCCTTACCGGCTTAAATCTATCGCAGGGATGATTGCAACTGTCCTCTACTCCTGGCTCTCCCTCTGCTCCCCGGCCGTCATCCCATGCTGTCTGTAGTAGTAGTAATACATCTAAAACTCATGCTAGAAAGCCTTATATATGTTCATCCCCTTGCTGGCCTCCATGCCAGTGCGCTCCTGCGCATCCTCCTGAGCTTGCTGCCCTTCTGCCTGCGTACAGCCGTGGGGATTTTGCAGTTGTTGGGATTGTGGCGTCTGCAAGAGTTAGACAAACAGGCCTTCGAGTTTCAGGCTTCCTTTTTTCCCGAAAGCTTCAGCGAA